GATAGGACCCGAAGCAACGGGTTTAAATTACATGCAGAAAGGTATCGGCTGGATATTAGGGAAAACGTTTTCACGGTCAGAGAGGTTCAGAGGTGGAATCAGCTGCCTAGAGAAGTGGTTAGCTCCCCTTCACTGACAGCTTTCAAGAAGAGGCTGGTCGAATATTTGTCAGAGATGCTTAAGGCTGGTCCTGCATTGGGCAGGGGGTTGGACTAGATGGTCTGTATGGCCCCTTCCAACTCTATGATTCTATGATTCTAGAACGGCTCCGAGATAACCTGTGCCTGACCCAAGGTCACATCAGCAGCTGCATGTGAAGGAGGAGTGGGGAATCAAACCCAGTTCTCCCAGATTAGAGTTCGTGCTTCTAACCACTACACCAAACTGTACAGGATTGCACAGGAGGTCCCACTCAAGGTCACCTGCAAATGCCCTTTGCCAGGATTCTTTGAGTCTCTTAGTCCTGATGATAGAGTTGCCAGCCTCCAGGCGATGCCTGGAGAATCCTGGGATTTCAGCTGAGCACCAGTTGGTCTCAAGACCGCAATAATAATCTAAACTACAGCTGAGCACCAGGCTCCAGACATCAGTTCCCCCAGAGAAAATGGCTGCTTTGGAGGGTGGACTGTATGGCATTGTATCATGCTGGGCTCCCTCCCCTCTGAGAACCCCCGTCTTCCTAGGCTTTACTCCAGGCATTTCCCAAATAAAGCTAATGCAGTCTTAAAGATGCATTAACAGAAGCCTTGTGTCCAGACCAAGGGAGGCGGTAGTTCCGCTCTATTCTGCTATGGTCAGGCCTCACCTGGAGTCCTGTGTCCAGTTTTGGGCACCACATTTTAGGAAGGATGTTGACAAGCTCGAGCGTGTCCAGAAGAGGGCAACCAGGATGGTGAGAGGGTTGGAATCCAAGTCTCACAAGGATAAGCTGAAAGAGTTGGGTATGTTTAGCCTGGGAAAGAGAAGGCTTAGAGGGGACACGATTGCAGTCTTCAAGTATTTGAAGGGCTGTCATGTAGAAGATGGGGCAGATCTATTCTCTCTTGCTCCGAATTGCAAGACTAGATCTAATGAGTGGAAATTACAAGGGAGTCGTTACCAGCTAAATATCAGGAGAAATTTCCTAACTGTCAGAGGGATTGAGCAGTGGAACAGACTGCCTCAGGAGGTGGTGGAGGCTCCTTCGCTGGACGTTTTAAAGCGGAGGCTGAGATGACCATCTTTCGGGTATGTTGTAGGGCTATCTTTTGGCTATGCTTCTGCAGAGTGCAGGGGGTTGGACTAGATTTTTTGGGGGGGGTTGGACTAGATGACCTGCAAGGTCCCTTCCAACTCTTTAACATTCTATGATTCTATGAACCTCGAGTTGGCAACCCAACCAGATGTTTATGCTTCAGGAATCTGTGAGCTGGACCACTGACCTAGTAAAGATAGTTCTGTGATCCTTTTTCTAATAAAACCTCTTTCTTTATTTAATTCTAGTTTGTTACATTTGCTGACAAGTATCTAGTGGTTAAGGAAAATGGGATTCTGGGGAATGGGTCGTAATAACGGTTAAGATACACCACTTTGTTTAGGATTTATGATGGGAAGGGAGGAAGGCGTTGAGGAGTCTGCTCTGGATTGAACCCGGAGTTCGGATTAATTTTGCAGCTGTCTAGAACAATGCTCCCTCTAAGCTGTGGAGTCTTGTGAGCAAAAATTCTACTCTACTGCCATTTAAATTGTGAGTGAGCGGTTTGGCTACTGCATAACTTAGTTTCCTCTGGAGCCCTCCTTCCTGAGCGAAGACAGAAATCTGTGAGCTGGAGGCTAAAAAAACTGTGAGCCAGCTCACACTAACTCAGCTTAGAGGGAACACTGGTCTAGGCACCACGGCACCCACCCACACTTCTCTTGGAGCCCTGAACCTTGTCAAAAACCGGGTCAGGCTACTGTAAGGCAGGGCTCGTTATTGGCCTCCCTTGTTCAAATGAAAGACCTTTCCGCCGGAAGATGGGGAGGACTGGTAAGCAACAGGGAGGTCCGGGTGTCCCTGACCGGGGCCAGGGCCTTTTCGGTCCTGGCCCCAACCTGGTGGAACTCTCTGCCTAATACGGTCAGAGCCCTGCGGGACCTCATTCAGTTCCTCAGGGCCTGCCAGGCAGTGATGTTCCGCCAGGCTTTCAGTTAGGGACAGCAATAGTTTTCCAACATGGCCCCAACCAACCCCATTCCCCACCCCCTCCAAAACAAAAAGAACTTAGGAGGTGACCAAAATCATTCAGAATCCCAGATTTTCAATTGTATAATTATTATTATTATTAGAAGAAGAGATTGGATTTATACCCCGCCCTTTACTCAGAGTCTCAGAGCGGCTTACTAACTCCTTCCCCTCCCCACAACAGACACTTGAGGTAGGTGGGACTGAGAGAGCTCTGAGAGGACTGCTCTTTCAAGAACAGTTCTGTCAGAGCTATGACTTGCCCAAGGTCATCCAGGAGCTGCAAGTGGAGGAGTGGAGAATCAAACCCGGTTCTCCCAGATAAGAGTCCACACATTTAACCACTACACCAAACTGGCTCTCTTAGTGAGGCCATCTTGAATCTGTTTTGCATTGGTTTTTGAAGTTATTAATGTTATTATATTTAATATTTGTATATTGTTCCTAAGGCATATTGTACATCGCCCAGAGCCCAGCGCAAGTCAGGATAGAGTGATCAATAAGTCTAGTAAATAATAATAATAATAATGACAACATCAATAATAATAATAACAGGACTTTTCTTAGTATGTGGCTGTGTTTCCCCTCCAGGATTTCCTTCTTCCCAGGCGTTGCCAGCAGGGAGGTGTTCCATTTGGCTCCACCTCCTGAGGCAGCCATTTGGGGCTTGGCTCTGCCTCTCCCAGAAGCCATTTTGGGGTGGCACTCTCACCTTCCCTCAGAATTCCAAAGATGATTGCAGCCTCAAAAAGGGTGGAGACCCATGGTCTAGAAGAAGAAGAGCCTGGATTTATACCGCACCCTTCACTACCCAAAGGAGTCTCAGAGCCGCTGACATGCCTAGTTCCCTTCCCCTCCCCACAACAGACACTCTGCGAGGTAGGCGGGGCTGAGAGAGCTCTGACAGAACTATGGCTTGCCCAAGGTCATCCAGCAGGAGCAAGTGTAGGAGTGGGGAATCAAACCCAGTTCTCCCAGATTAGAGTCCGTGCATTTAACCACTACACCAAACTGTCTCTCGATGAATCAGTTTTACCTCCTGATTAATTCCGAAGCACATTTGGGGCATGCGTGGCTCTCTCTCGACCCCAACAGAGCCAAGTTGCATTCCAACACTGCCTCTCTGGCCTCTCGATACAGCCATAGGACTAGCCTTAGTGTTCATCATTGGTACACCCTTTCATTCCAAGGTGAAGGAGGACATTTCTCTTCTTTCCCACAGCCAACAACATCTGTTTCTATGGCGAGTGTTCCTACTACTGCTCAACGGAGCACGCCCTTTGCGGGAAGCCAGACCAGATCGAAGGCTCCCTGGCCGCGTTTCTCCCAGACCTGTCTTTAGCGAAACGGAAGACCTGGAGGAATCCGTGGAGGCGCTCCTACCACAAACGCAAGAAAGCAGAGTGAGTACTGAAAACAAAGACGTGTTGGGCACCACAGCAGCCGAGCGGTGTTCAAGCAGATGGTGAAGTGCCTGCTACTTGGTTGACAGACTGCATTTCAGACACTGTTGAGATCTTGTCTGTTGGCCCGTTTCTTGTCTTTGACTAGGCCCCAAGCCTTCCGGTCCTGTTGTGGTGTTCGAAAAGAGAGTAGTGGCAATAAGCGACAGAGCTGGAAGGACTGCTTGCGGGGAGATGTAGGGGCGAACTAGATGTTACAGCATCCACCAAGCAATGTTGTATGCCCCCTCATATCTTTTCAAGGGCTGAATCTGATATAGGAGGCTATTTTCGCACTTGGAAAGATGGGGTGGGGGGTTGAGATCGCCTGATCCTGCCTAAGGCTGTCAATTTCCAGGTGGGGCCTGGAGATCTCCCACTGTTACAACTGATCTCCGGACAACAGAGAAAAGTTCCCCCGATGAAAACGGTTGCTTTGGAGGATGGACTGTATTGTGTTATACCCTGCTGGGGTCCCTCCCCACCCTCAAACCCCGCCTTTCTCAGGATCCATTCCAAAATCTCCAGGTATTTCCCAACCTAGAAATGGCAGCCCTAATTCTGCCTCGCCATAGATGTGATCAGGATCAGAAACTTCCAGCATTTTAGAATGGCTGAATTCTTATTTAAAATGCCGTCAGTGTCCACGAGCTTGACCCATGGACTCCATAATGTCTAGTTCGGCCTGAAGTCTGACAGGGAAGGGAAAAAAGACACTGAACCTGAGTCTTAATCTCTTTTAGGCTGTATCCACACATTGTTGATGGTCAGTCTGGGGTCACATTGGGCTTTTCCACACCGGGTTTATGCTTCAGCTTGACTTCCTCACTGCATCGGCTTTTCCTCCTTTCCTGACACACAATATCGGTCATTGCTCTCCAAGCTTATTTCCCCCCAGGTTTTCCCCATATTTTTTTCAGGTTAAGAGCCAGACTGGTGCGCAGACTCTACTCTGGGAGAACCGGATTTGATTCCCCTCTCCTCCACATGCAGCTGCTGGTGTGACCTTGGGTCAGGCGTAAATTCTTTCAGAGCTGTTCTCTTGAGGGCAGTTCTCAAGAGAGCTCTCTCAGCCCCACCTACCTCCCAGGGTGTCTGTTGTGGGGGTTGCAGTGATGCCTTCTGTCACCTTTGCCATCTGTTCTTTAAAAGTATTCAGCTGCTCCAGCAGAGGGCGCATGCATTCAGCTACAGCTTTAGCTGTCTCGCTAGCCACTTCCGTTCGAGGACTCTCTGGTCCCTTTGTTTTAAGAAGTCTGTCCTTGTCCTTCTTCCCCACCATTTTATACAGTTGTTTACTTTTCTGGATTACACGAAAGTCTCTGAATATGCGCCTAAACATTAGATGCCTATCGGGTAAGTGCCTCTAGACAGGTCTCGCTGCCTTTTCTTCCGCTCCCCCCCCCCCTTTCGCGTTTCTCACAGTCTGTTTTATAGGCGTCGCGTGGGAGGCGTCCACCCACCCCACCCTTCACCTCCTCCATAGCAGCAATCAGCACATGGTACTGTTTGTAAGGGAGGGGGGAACCCAGTGCGGAAAAGCCCGCAGTGAACTTTGTGGCTGGGCAGAGAGTCGAACGTAGTCTCGCAATAGTGCTGCGAGGTAGGCTAGTCTGAGAAAGAGTAACTAGCTTAAGGTCACCCACTGAGCTCTGTGGCAGACTGGGGACTCGAACCCGGGTCTCCCTAGTTCTAGTCTAACACTGTAACTGAAAGGTGCCACTCTGTCTCGTGTAGCAACACTGCCGTGTATTACTACAGTCAGAATGTACAGAATGCTGCAGCAGAGAAGTTGACCGGAGTGGGCTGCGGGGACCCTATCACTCCAGTCTCGGCCCATCTACACTGGCTCCCAGTTTGTTTCTGGGGACCATTTCAGGTGCTGGTCCTGACCCCGCCTCTTTAAAGTTCCCTGGCCCTGGGCTCTCCCCCGAGCCCCTGGGGGGGTCCACGATCCTGTGTGTCCCCTTCCCCCGGCTGGAGCACAGACCTATCCCGGGAGGTCCGGGAAATAGGTCCATGGACACGCCGCCATCGACCGGAAGTTCAAGTTGCTGGTCTTGACCTTCAAAGCCCTATATGGTTTGGCACCAACCTACCTGAAGGTCTGCCTACCCCCTCAGAAACCCGACTGTTCCTGTCATCTTCAGAGACCCTGTTTTGCGTGCCCCTGCCTGCGGAGATTGGGGGATGGCAAGCTGGGAAAGGGCCTTCTCTGTTGTGGCACCCAAACAGTGGAACCCTCTCTCCAGGGAGATTTGTCTGTCCCCCTCTATTACTGTCTTCCGCCAGCAAGTGTAGATTTTTTGTTTCCTTTGGCATCCCCTCAGTGATTCCTCCTTCCTGCCCAGTCTCTTAATGGTTGTTTTTATGTCTTTCTATGTAATTCTAGCTGTGTTTAAATTGTTTTTAATTGTGTGTGTGTGTGTGTGTTTTGTGGATTTAAATGGTTTTAAAATGTCATTTTATTATGTATGTTTTAATTTGGTGGCCCTTGCGTGGGGGGCAAAAGGCAGGATATAAATTTTGTAAATATAATTCCCTTATGTATTGGCCATTTCCAGCTCTCCCATTGTCTGTGCAGTGCGCTCCATCAGCCACTGGCCCATCAACCACCACTCAAGAGTACTCACATGCCATTGGCTGGGTACTAGGTCCACTCCTCTCCCCCACCCACTGCCAGCCTGGAACACTCTTCCTTCACATAATAAACTATCAAAATGGCTGCCTCTCCTGACGAAGACACTTCTTCTTGGCTCCTGTGGGACTAACGTTTCCCTTAGTAGCTGTTGCTAGGCAACCAAGCTTGGTTCTGTCAGTCAAAAGGTGAAGGAAGGAAGCCCTTTCCAGACCTTTGTGGGGAACTCATTGGGGCCAGTCCTGACTAGAGTTGCCAGCTCCAGGTTGGGAAATTCCTGGATATTCTGTGGTAGAGGCTAAGAAAGCCAGAGTTTGGGGAGGGTAGAGACTTCAGCTGAATAGAATGCCATAGAGCCCACCCTCCAAAGGAGTTATTTTCTCCGGGGCGGGGGGGATATCTGTTCTCTGGAGTTCAGTGTGATACCCGGCGATCTTCAGGCTCCACCTGGAGGTTGGCTACCCTAGGTAAAGTGGTTAGCACTTCAGATCAGGGTCTGCTAAACCTAGGTTTTTGCTGTGGAAGTTGAGTGGGTGATTTCAGACCAGTCACAGACTTTCAGCCTAACCTACCTCACAGGGTTGTTGTACATATCAAAAGGGGGAGAGGAGAATGATGTAAGCTGCTTTGGTCTCCACTGCGGAGAAAGACTGTATTTTTCCTCCTGGGGAACCATTGCTGCCAATCTCCAGGTGAAGGCTGGAGATCACTCAGAATTAACACTGCTCTCCAAATGGTAGAGATCAAGGGCAGATAACGGTAGGTTGATGGTTGGCTGGGAAGGAGATAGGGTTGCCAACTCCAGGTTGGGAAATTCCTGGAGATTTGAGGAGTGGAGCCTTAAGAGGGTGGGACCTCAGACAGGTACAATGCCATAGATGCCACCCTCCAAATCAGCCATTTCCTCCTGGGGGACTATTGCTGCCAATCTCCAAGTGCGGGCTGGAGATCACTCATTGTTGTCAGGCTCCAGGGGGAGGGCTGGAGATCACTCAGAATTAAAACTGCTCTTCAGATGGCAAAGATCAGTTCCCCTGGAGAAAACGGTGGACTCTATGGCATTATACCCTGCTGAAGTCGCCACTGCAAATTGACACTGAGTGCCTAAGGCCAGGGCACCCACCCAGAGCCTCTTTCTAGATCTCGTTGTATTTATTTCCACAATGGGCCTTATTCCTAGTATATAAATAAATACAGTTGGTGCGTACACCTTGAAGATTTTCTCTTGTGCACTTTGGGCTTAAGGTGAAAAACCTCTATAAAGGAGTGAAAAGGGCAATATCAAAACTCTTGTACAGCTACATTTTGCTATCTCTGTTGTCTTTTCTAGATGGGAGGTTGATCCGGACTATTGTGAAGAGGTCAAACAAACCCCACCTTATGACTCCGGAACCCGAATTTTGGATATAATGGATATGACCATTTTTGATTTTCTCATGGGTATGTTGGACGTCTCTTAAAAGGAAATGGTTTTTATTCAGCCATCTCTGAACAGATGGGGTGGGAGGCAAAATTGCTGTGATTTCCCTTGCTGTCTCAGGTTTTTAGGAGGAGTCTTGCCTAACAACATTGTGGCATGCAGAACTTTAGCAAATGAAGCTTTCTCCTACCATATTTTTATCACCATGGGAGGAAAAACTTTCTGTGTTAATCATGGAGGCAGGGTCCATGAAAGTCATAGAAGGCACGATTGGATGCTTCTCCATATACACAAATGTATCCCATCCATACAGAAAACTAGCATCTCAAGGATAAGGCTCATCTTGAACCTTCTCCCTGGGTTGGTAGCTTTCTGCATGCAGGGACATTTTTATGTGAAGAAAGTTTCAATCATAAGCCCCGCTGGTATAGATAGATATTTTATTACAGCATCAAGCCAGTAAATCAGCAGAAACACACCAACGTTATAGAAAATAGCTAAAAAGTACATAAAATGTATAAGTAAAGGCAAAGGTTTCCCTTGTTCGAAAGCTAGTCAAATCTGACTCTAGGGAGCAGTGCTCATCTCTGTTTCCAAGCCGAAGAGCTAGCGCTGTCCAAAGACGTTTCTGTGGTCATGTGGCCAGCATGACTAAACTCCAAGGCACACAGAACGCTGTTACCTTCCCACTGAAGTGGTACCTATTTATTTACTTGCAATTTCTTGATTTTGAACTGCTAGGTTGGCAGGAGCATAAAATAAAGTAACAACCAATAAAAATTGCAAAAAATATAAGTCAGAAGATCAGCTTAAAACTGAGACATGATTAAGCGGGCTTTTCAAATACAACCACAAATGGTGCAGAATTTGGCAACTGCCTTAGAGATGAACGGATTTTCATCTGAAAGCATGTAGTTTATGTAATCAGTCCGTCATATCGGGACTTGGTTTTGCAATAGGCTCAAGATATTTGGAGCTGTCCACCTTATACCAGGGCCCCCTAGGATCATATGTGTGATAGTTTCAACTTCCCCTAAGCCCCGCTGGTATTCTAAGTTTGGTGCAGTGGTTAAGTGCGCGGACTCTAATTTGGATGACCTTGGGCAAGCCATGGTTCTGATAAGAGCTGTTCTTGAAAAAAAAAGTGCCAAGAGCTCTCTCAGCCCCACCCACCTCACAGGATGTCTGTTGCGGGGAGAGGAAGGGAAAGGAGTTTGTAAGCCACTCTGAGACACCTTCGGGTAGTGAAGGGCGGGATATAAATCCAATCTCTTCTCTTCTGCTGCTGCTGGTTTTCCAGTTGGTGGTAGAAAGCACCGTCAAGTTGCAACTGTCTTATGGTGACTCCCCAGGGGGCGGGGTTCAAGGCAAGAGACATTCAGAGGTGGTTTGCCATTGCCTGCTTCTGGATAGCTTCCTTAGTGGTCTCCCCATTGAAGTACTAATCAGGGCTGACCCCGCTTAGCTTCCGAGAACTGATGCAATCACTAATCAGGGCTGACCCCACTTAGCTTCCGAGAACTGATGCAGTCAGGCCGGCCTGGGCCGTCCAAGTCAGGGCAAAAGACAGACAGAGGTGACTGGCCATTCCCTGCCTCTGCGTAGCAACCCTGGACTTCCTTGGAGGTCTCCCATCCAAGGACCAACCAGGGCTGACCCTGCTTAGCTTCCGAGGTCCGATGAGATCGGGCTAGTCTAGGCAATCCAGGTCAGGGGAGTCCTCAGGTTACCTGAAAAAGCCACAACCTCTGTTTGGCCACGCATTTACCTCCGTTCCTTTTAGAAATGCAGAAGTGCCCTATATTTTCTGGACAAGGATGCTCAGTACAGCAATTTCCCTCACTATTTTTTTTTAAAACGTGTGTCTCCTTCGGGTGTGCCCCAATTTGTTCATGTAAACTTCGTGCTTCTAAAGAATCTCTGCTCTGCTGACTTTTTGATCTCGCAAGCCATTTTTCAGAAATTCTGGGATTTCCCTACCCTCGTTTCTCTTTGTAGGCAACATGGATCGACACCATTACGAAACCTTTGAGAAGTTTGGAAATGAAACATTTATTATCCACTTAGACAACGGAAGAGGGTGAGTAGTTTGTTTATTTGCTAGAAGAATGTCAGGAGGGGTCCCAAGTGCAGGCTGTAACTAGAGATGGGCAGGATCCACCCCACAGCTCACCTCCATTGCCCTATAGTGCTCAGTTTCCTCCCCTCTATCTGGGCCTCCCAGCTCCTTCTGTGACTGTGACCACTATGCAGTGCTGCTCTGCCACTGTGGTATGGCTTCGCAGTTATCGTCTTGCAGGAGCCAGAAGGTAAAGAAAGGGCCATAGGTAGCACTGATAGACAGTATCTGGCAACTGGCAGGAGAGTTGTGGGTGGTAGGGATGGGCACGATGGGTCTACCGTCACGAACTTCCATGAACCTTTAGAGCGGTTGTGGTGATTCGTGGAAGGAGCAGAAAGCAGGGGTTTGAAGTCCCTTTAAACCCCTGCTTTCTGTTAACCGCAAAAGCTGCAAAAATAGCTATGCAGCAGGGAGGCACTCCCTGCCTCGCAGCTGTTGTGGGCTTTCTTCTGCAAGCTGCTCGCTGCCGCTTAGCTGCAAAAATAGCTATGCAGCAGGGAGGAAAGCTGTTTTGGGCTTTCTTCTGCAAGCTGCTCCCTGCCGCTTAGCTGTTTTTCAGGCTTTCAGCAAACCCCATTTAAAGGGACTGTGGTCCCTTTCAACAGGGTTTATAGGGCCACAAACCACGAACCAGTTTGGTTCATGAACAAATTTCCTGGTTCAGTTCAGCTCGTGGTTCGGTTCATGGTTCAGCCATGAACCATGAACCCAAACCACACTTTCCTGATTTCTGCCAATCTCTAGTGAGTGGGTAGCCACAACGCCAGCTGCAGCACTGAACAAGTTCCAGTAAAAAAAAAGAAGTAACATGGGGTAATTCTAGGAATCGCCAGAAACTCTATGGTAAAATTCCTAGAGGTACCCTCTGTCACTTCCGGGTTTTTACTAAAAGTGACATAGCACTGCCTGCGACGCCCTAGGTTGTGGCTTTGTGCATCCCGGGATCCCCCACCCTCACAGGGGCTTGGCAGCCCTAGCCATAGGGTGGTTGTACAGGGGCAGGGAGCATTAGTAAAATTTGTTATTCTTTGGCTCCCAGGGAGGGGGAGGGTGCTGTAGCTTTTTAGAAGGGCCTCTGCTTTGCATGTCGAAAGACCCAGGTTCAATCCCCAGCACCTCCAGTTAAAGACAGCAGGTGGTTGGTGATGTGAGGGACATCACCTGAGAGAACCACTGCCAGTCTGTGTAGACAGTACTGGCTTTGACGGGCTGATTCAGTATAAGGCATGTGTGGGAAACGGCCATTTGCAGAGCCGCGTCGACACACATCAAAATGCAGTCCCAGTGATTCTTCCTTTTCCTTTCTTCCCCACCGAAAGGTTCGGTAAATATTCCCACGATGAACTCTCCATCTTGGTGCCTTTGAACCAGTGCTGTAGGTAAGCCACCTGTGATGCTGTTTCTTTGTCGGAGGAAGGTGGGCAAAAAAAAATGCTGGGAATAAATTTTTAGGCACGATTTGTTGGCATGAGGAGGGCTGTAAGTGATTTGAGAATTAGGCCCCTGGGGAGGCGCTCTTAAAGGCATTTATAGGAAACAGCTGTGCTACGCTGAGCAGATAGAAAGAGCGGTGGTAGAGAAACGCCACCCACCCTAGAATTCTCCATAACCACAAAAACGCTCTTCTTGAACATGTTATCAAAATAATGCAAACAGGGGGGGGGGGGGGCAGCAGCTGTTTGCTAGACCACTTCATCCCAGAGAAAGGTAGATTAAAAGGGAAATTAATCAAACCCATGAGACTGAAACCTTATGTTGATTCCCGGAGAACAACAGCGGTGAAATATTTTTTATTCTTACATGGCTCAAAGGGCCCCAAAGCAAGTGTGCAAATTTTCAAGCTCCATAGAACTCTCATCAAACAGGCTAAAAAAAATTGGTGTAAGAAAAAAAGGAGGGAGAAATGTTTCAGGGTAAAGTGGTGAAGTCCCACGCCTACAGTTCTGTAGTTTTTGTGAAATGGAGACCAGGAGATTAGATCACACAGTTTGCAAAATAGATTTCAAGATGGATCAGAAGGTTCTTGAGATACAGAAGAGTGGTGGTAATAATAATAATAATAATAATAATAATAACAATAATAATAATAATAATAATAAATCTTTCTTTTAACATGTCACTAAACCAGGAGCTCCTTAAAAAGGGAGATATCTAAGGGAGCTGAACAGTAGGAAATGTTGTTGGCACGTGTATGATGTTGCAGTTAGATTTGAGGTCAAAACAAAATGGTGTGTAACGGCATGCCTTGGGGAGCTGGAAAGGTGAATCAAAGAACAGAGTTATTCATCTCCAGGAAGCTTCTGCCAGTATCCACATACAAAGAACTAGTGTCGCTTCAGGCCATGAGTTTATAAGCTGAGGGTCGCCCCCTTCCAGTCTCAGTTCTCTCGGTAGCCTTTTCACGGTGCTGATTCCGTTCCCACCCGAGGTCGTGTCTGTAGCACAGTGATGATAATATCGCCCTTCGCTTAAGGTTATCGCAGACATATCTGGGAGGGAAATGGCGCTGTCTAAAGAGAAGACTCCTCTGTCTAAAGAGAAGTGTACTTCAAAATGATTAAGGGACTTCCACACTACCCAGAAAGCTGATATTCAGCACATAACCCAAGATAATTCTATACTGGCCGAATCGTCTGCAAACAGGACGTTTGGAAATCCCTCCCTCAAAATGGTGGACACGTACTGTTCCCCCAGATAGTTAAGGTGCTGTCATTCCATCTAGAGAGTTGATGTTTGGAAACATTGTAGCCCAAGTCATTCTGATTACTGGGAAAGTATCAAAGTGGGACATCTGTGTGTGTGTACCCTACGCATGGGAGTATAAGAAGAGGTCCCCCGAGCATGAGCTAGAAAGCTGAACATTTGGTACACATACCACCTGATGTACCCGGGCCATTTGAAAACGGAATTTTTTCCTGCCTGACAATAGGACATTGCCTAAAAATGATTTTGGATCGTAATGATAAACTTGAACTTGTCACCTAAAAAGGAGACTCAAAATGTACTTTAAATCGGAGGGTTATAGAAGCAATTTTTGCACGGCTAAACAGCTTTGCCCAGTTAGCAAAAACTCAGTCAAAGCTATCCATATCCCCTAGTTTTTATTTATTTGTATAATCTCAAGAGTTGGAGGGAACCACCAGGGTCATCTAGTCCACCCCCCTGCAAATGCAATAAGTACAATTATAGTATCCCCCAATAAATTGCTACTGAAAAACCTCCAATGATGAAAAATCCACTGCCTTATGAGGAAGACTGTTCCAGTATTGAACACACCTCACTGTCAGGAAATTCTTCCTCAAATTCAGACAAAAACCTCCATTACTGTAGGCCATTAGTCTGAGTCCTATACAACGGAGAACATATCTTCCCCATCCTCCACATGGCAACAGTTTAGGTACTGGAAGGTGATAATCTTATTATCTGCCCAGGATCCCTTGCTACAAGGAAAGCCATTCTTTCCTGTGTTTTCCGCTCTTGTGACACCCACGATAGTTTGAGAGGTGAAACAGGATTGAAGCGATGAGGGTTCAGAACATACATGAGGTTTAGTTAGACATAGGAGGCTGGCAACCAGTGGGACAGGGAAGGCGTGGGGACAGGAGGAATGATTGTCACACCAGTGATGAGACGTGAAATCATGCATGTCACAGACATGATGCTCTAGGATTCAGACAGAACTCTATGGTAGTTTTGTCCAAATCCTAGGCAATTTCCCCCCCCCTGCCAAGTTGTGGTGGGGAGCATAGAGGGAGGCCAAGAGGTCTCCTAAGTTGGAAGTAGGCCCTAACAATACCCAAAACTTTTGCCATTAAGTTTCAGCCAACTTACGGTGGCCCTGTAGGGTTTTCAAGGCAAAAGACATTCAGAGGTGGTTGGCCATTGCCTGCCTCTGCATCTCAACCCTGGACTTCCTTGGTAGTCTCCCATCCAAATACTTATCAAGGCTGACCCTGTTTAGCTTCCCAGATCCAACAGGATTGAGCTAGTCTGGGCTATCCTTCAAATGACCTCTTTCCCCCTCCCCCTTTTCTTTTCTAGAATAAGGAAATCTACCTATCAGCGATTGCAATTGCTAGCCAAGGAAGAATTCAAACTCAGCGACCTGATGGAAGAATCATTGATGAAAGACAAAATTGCACCCATTTTGTACAAGTTGCACCTTGAAGCTATGGACCGAAGGCTCCGGATAGTGCTCAAGGCCGTCAGTGACTGTATAGAAAAAGAAGGGTACGATAACGTGGTGGAAACTGACTTTGTCGCTGACCTGAACACTATTACGACCAAGAGGTAGTGAAATCACAGGACCATGTTTTTACGAGCTCTGTAGAAGAAGAAGAAGAAAATAAGAAACCAAACAGTCTTGCGAAAGGCTGTGTATGCCACTTTGTGAATTCAGTGAATTCAGAAATGCGATTATAATTGTTCTCAAAGTAGCTAAGGGGTAGACTTTGTGAAGGATGAGGTTGCGGGTGGGAACGTGCAACCTCTGGGGTGTATCTAACCAGCTGGACCAATTTGGGGGCCATTGGGGAAGCCCCGTGTTTTCTTCTGAGTTCTCCCATGCAGAGCGTCTCAGTTGCCGTGGCCTTCGTAAAACCTTGTGTCCCCTTGGTCCCAAAAGATTCCTTCCAGTTGCCCATTATAGCATTGGATTGTTGTGAGTGGAACTTCTGGCAAGCCCTGTCTCACCAAGGTGTTGTAGCAGTTCCTGTAGGGAATGAGTTTGTGGTCAAGCTCACCCTCACACAGAGAGAGAGAGAGGGAGAGAGAGAAATGGCATACAGCTGGAGCGTACCACCAACTGTGGGGAGGGTTTAGGGGACATTGAAGTGGATAGAAGTGGGCCATCCAAGGGTTAGGCAACTGTAAAAAGAACTGGATTGCTGTGCTTTTAAATCAGTGCCCAAAACAAGGTTTGGAAGATATTTGAGACTGCCTAAATGAGCAACCCCGGTCTCCTGGCAAATGGCACCCGTTTTTGGTTTTGTACAGAAAGCAGATCTTTATTTAATATTTTGTATTTATATATGAAATAGCAAGTGAGGGGAAATGCAGATCTACCTAACCAAATCCTAAGAAAAAGAGGAACAGGGTCATTTTCATGGCTCACAATGTATTCTAGAGGGAAACCCATATAGAGCTAGTCTATACTGTTATAGCCCTTCCGGGACTGTATCACTACAGAACGTAGGCCGGGAGGGAGTGATTGGCTGGCTGCTCAGCCACCTCCAAATAGCATGCGTGTAAAAAATTAGCATGTCAAAGAAGAGGCTGGCCTTGAACAAATTATCTTTGACGTGCTATTTTTCAGTTAGGGACACTTTCGAAATCCTCCTGCTCTGAATTGATCCTCGGAGTTTAAAGCTCGAAATTACTTGGGTTTTGTTTCTGAAGCAGAGCCGACGAGTCCATTGTTTCCATTTCTTTTTAATGTTCTACAGAGTGCTGTGCATGCACGGATTACTGCAGTTTTCAGTTTGTGCGCGTCGTTTTTAATCTCTTAAACGTGCATTGATAAAAGACACTCAAAAACAAAAGAACCAGCGTTGATACATTTCAATATACAACAGCACTAAGATTGTTTTGGAGCAGGATTTGACCAGAGGCACAGGACAGCATGCAGATGTTAGTAAAACACCATCCACAGTGAATCGTGATGCAGTCAAACCACTGACCATGGAAAGATTGCTTCTTTTTTTTGCAGTTTTACCAATGCAAATGTGTGTGTGTCGATATATCGCCAAAGAGGGTGGGAAGACATGCAAATGTCTCGGCAAACCACATGCTGTGTTCCGGAATTAATTTTTGAGAATATTCTTAGCTTAAGTCATGCCTAAAGTGAAGCGGAGTGCCGTAGAAGGAGAAAATGAAGGGACGGGAGGGGGGAGGGGGCATATTCTTGTCCTTAGTTTTCATCACAGTGTGTGAAACAGAGGAAGCATTCTGCCACCTGCGTCCGAAAGCAAAACGGTCCTGAAGAGAAGCGGATCGCGTTCTTTTCCTTGCCGTGTATACCATCAGCTTGTCATGTCCTGCGTTAACCTTCAAGTTCTCTCTTCCTCCGTGTCTAATTTAAATTGATTCTCCCTCCCCGCACACCTACTCCACCTGAAGATGTCTCTAAACTGTTTCTTCAAAGCAAAAAAGCAGGGGGGGGAGAGAACAGAAACACAAAGTTAGAGGCGAACCTAGTTGGAAAGAGGATTCTGAAAATTCGTGCGTCGGCGGGGGAAATACTTGAATGTGGTTTTACAAAGCGATGTAAAATTAATGACAAATTGTACTATTTATCCAGACAGAAGCTGCAGCTCTTATCTTTCTAGACAGTCGTAGCGGGGCTGCCGCTTTCCCGACTTTGCTTTTGATAGTTTTTGTGTAAATATATAATATAACGAGTTTCAAAAAAAAAATCAAGGGGGGGGGAGAGAGAGAAAAATAGCTGCGTTCGGCAGCAATAGATTTACTTTTGCAGCATTTTCTTTTCCTCTGTGGATTTGTTTGCAATGTGGTCCCAGTGCAATAAAGATATGGCAAAAATGTGTAGCCGGACTGTCTATGTGAACGTCATTCATTCTCACCTTACCGTTCTATGGACAGGTGCACCTGCCTTATACCGTAGCCAGAACATTGGTCCGTTTAGTTTGATATCGTTGACATACGTAGAATGCCTAAGGAGGTCTACTCAGAAGTAAGCCCCATTTTATTTGGTGGAACTTAGAAGAAGAAGACGACATTGGATTTATACCCCGCCCTTCACTCAGAGTCTCAGAGCAGCTTACAAACTCCTTTCCCTTCCCCCTCCCCACAACAGACACCCTGTGAGGTAGGTGGGGCTGAGAGAGCTCTTTCAAGAACTGCCCTTGAGAGAACAGCTCTGACCAGAACTATGGCTTGCCCAAGGCCATCCAGCAGCTGCAGGTGGAGGAGTGGGGAATCAAACCCAGCTCTCCCAGATTAGAGTCCGCGCACTTAACCACTACACCAAACTGGAAATCATTCCCAGGAAATCACTCTCAGGGTTGCAGGCTATGACTGCTAGCGGCCCACAAGCAGACAAAAAAAGCTATCCCTGCAAGTTGCTACCTGAGTTGGGTTTTTTTTAAAAAAAAAGAAGAAGAAGAAGAAGCTGGAGGTGCCAGGAATGGATCGATTGATTAAAACATACTGCCCTTGCCCTGATCGAAGGGAGCTGAAGGGCATTTCACTATGGAGACAGCACAAAGCAGGGCTTAGAATACAAAATATTATCCTTGGGTTCTCCGCACGGCCCCTGCACTACTTTCTCTGCCATCTTGCTTTCTTTGCTCCTCTCTCCAGATAAAGGGGGTCTAGACTGCCCAGCACCAGACTGCAGGCTCTCTTATGGTTGGTGGAAAGCGCCGTCAAGCAACATAGTGACCCCATAAGGTTTTCAAGGCAAGAGATGAACAGAGGACTTCCTTGGAGGTCTCCCATCTGAGTACTAACCAGGGCAGACCCTGCTTAGCTTCCGAGGTCTGATGTGATAGGGCTAGCCTGGGCCATCCAGGGCAGGAGACAGTCAGGGGTGGGTTTGCCATTGCCTGCCTCTGCGTAGCAACCCTGGGCTTCCTTGGAGGTCTCCCATCCGAGTACCAACCAGGGCAGACCCTGCTTAGCTTCCAAGGTCCGATGTGATAGGGCTAGCCTGGGCCATCCAGGGCAGGAGACAGTCAGGGGTGGGTTTGCCATTGCCTGCCTCTGCGTAGCAACCCTGGGCTTCCTTGGAGGTCTCCCATCCGAGTACCAACCAGGGCAGACCCTGCTTAGCTTCCGAGGTCCGATGTGATAGGGCTAGCCTGGGCCATCCAGGTCAGGGCTGTAAAGGAACACACTTGGAAACACCAACCAAACTCCAGGGATTGTGTCAAGGGACAGTCACCATTCAAAGCACATGAAGGCCCAAAATAATGAAATATTACATTTGCAAGGATTGGTAATGCATCTGGGAATAAATTTCACCTTAAATGGTCCCTGCCAACAGCCCTTCCTATTTAGGACATGGTGTGCTTCTGTGCCTGACAAGCTGACCACCTTTGCCGGTACGTGTGACAGAAGATTCGGTGGCTCTGAAGCGCCTGTCAGGGTTTATTAGATCACCAATCCATGAACTCAGGGAGAGTAACAGGAAGGAACATGGTGTCCTTTTGGAAGTTCTGAACAAGCCGGCAGAAAGTGCTGTTTGACTCAACTCTACTCTCAGTGCTTGGAAACAACGGTTAAGAAAAGTTGCTTGGGGCTGCACGAAGAACAGGATCAGGAACTCTCCAGGTTCCCTTCCTCACCGCCATATAAAAATGAAAAGTAATTAAAAAAAATAGAAAAGGAAATCGTAAACATTCAAAAATTCACTAGTTTCCCAGTTTGCCCTTAATGACAAAAGCAGATAGCTAGGTACGTGATCCCTGACTGCATAGCATTTCAGGTATGTGATCCCTGACTGGCTGGGATGAGTCCAGGAAGAAAGAAAAATGGCTGGGGTGAAGCAGTGGCAGGGAAGGGTGAGTGAGAAATCAGTGGCTATGAACAGTTGCCCATGAATACAGGTAGGATTCATGATTATTTCAGAAGGTTCCCTGCCGGGCCACTATCTTCGGGACAAAAATTGAGCTGGGAGAATGTTTGCCTCACCAACGCGGAGCAACACGCTACTCTATGTGGGCTGGATTTGGCTTCCAGAGTTCTGTCAACTTTTTTTTTATGCGCTAAGGAAAGCTCACACTGTGTGCTTTTACCTTTCAATATATTCTTTCCATTTGCCAGGAATGGAATAAATGCTGGCTTTTGACCATCAGTGTTAATATATTCTTTCTCTCCACTTGCCAGGAATTGAATAAATGCTGGCTTTTGACCATCAGTGTGACTTTGAGACCGCAGTAACATTCGAAAATGATCTTTCTTAAATCCAGGAGAGTGGATTGGGGTGGGGGGCAGAGTTCCCTTTAAGCTGGCACACAAAACTTTAGCTGGCAGCTCAGGGATTTTTCAATTGGCTCATAAGTGAATTGAGAAGGCCTTTTTCCTTCTCCATTGGAAACAATTGAGGATGGGGGCACCTCCTTCTGGGGGCCCATAGAATTGGACCCCCTAGTCCAATCTTTTTGAAACTTGGTTATGAGGAGAGGGACCAGCAACTATGCTTAGAAGGGAACATTGGGGGGAATGTCCTGTGCTCTGCATAGGGATGCACAAATATGTGATAGGCCCTCTGGTATTCAAGGGCTGTGACACAGGTCAGATTCAAGGTGAGGAAGATTTGCCTTAAGGTATGATGGAAAGCTGAGATCTTCAACGTGGTCTCTGTGCTTCACACCCATGGGATCTAGTGCGCATGTGCTGGATCGATCGGTGCTGTAGCAAGCTCTTTTCAACGAATGTTCGCACCCAGTCCCTCCGGGCATGCGCAGGAACCCCACCGCGCATGCCTAGAGGGGTAGGCGCGGACATCCCGCCAGTTCCTTTCTTACCGCCGCGTTGGAAAGACCTATTCGTTCCTTCATCTGATCGGAATCGCTGTTAGCAGTTTAACAAAACTTCTAGCTCTAGGATCATATCCTTTCTTCATTCTTTTTTTATTTCCGTTCTTCTTTATTTTTCTGAGGGAAATTTACCTTAGGCCTTCAGGCACCTTAGGGCTCCCCCCCCTTAACCGTCGCTTCCACTTCTTATGGAGAAGAAGAAGTGGGGATTTTTTAATAGGTGTCGTCACTGTGGAAGCAAACTTGCTCCGCCGGACGGACATAAACTTTGTATTTATTGCCTGGGAGAGTCGCATAAACCGGAGTCCTGTCAGCATTGTGCTCAATTCTCGAACCAAACGAGAAAGAACCAGGCTGCGCAACTTAAAGTGGCTTTGCTTGAATCTGCCCTCGCTCCAGCCTCTGTCATGGAAGAAGGGCCGTCCACATCGACAGCTCCGCCGCCGAGACCGGTTTCCGATGTCAACCATCCGACACCGAAACACTCGACGTTGAAGACTCGATCTTCTGCCTCTACGCCGGTCAAAAAGAAGGCTAAGGCAGGTATGGACCATAAGTCCGTGAAGAAGGGCTCCTCCAAGGCCCTTAAGACGGCAAAAAAGGGGAAGGAAGCGGTACCGGTACTGGGTGATGCTCCAATAGCACCTCCATCGATACAGACCATCCATGTGTTGGATTCCCCCATACGTCCAACGGACCGTCCTTACTCCAGTGTCGAAACGGTGGAACTCGTTAGTCACCAGCTGGGTGCAGAGCATCCCCTGTCAACTTCACAGCCATTGACATCGACAGTGTCCGAAGCTCCCGACGTCAAACTTCCTCAACACCGATACACCACTTCTATGAAACATAGCCACCCTCCACGTCCACGTTCTGAAACTGTTGATACCGATGCTCAAGGCTATATGGACCCGCCTAGTAAACGAGCTGCTGCTTTCTCTCCTAGATGTCCATGGTCCAGAAGTCGATCTCCAAGAGTCTTTCTACCACCACCACCACCACCGATATCATGGGACGTGTGTCAGCTGCGATACCTTTATGGGGCATATCCACCATCTATGCCTTGGTTAATGCCGGCTGATTACTCTGGTTGGGACCATTACTCTGTCCGGTCCGTTCATCGGTCAAGGTCGCCTCATAGAACAAAACCGTCTGCTTCTCTCTCACGTCCACCTACTGTCGGCCCGCCCCACCATTCTCTGGAGCAAAATCGTCCGCTCAACTTGATGTCTCCTCCACCTGTCACTGAGTCAGCAATTACCCGTCTGTCACCTTTTCTACATACCTGGCATCGCATCACCTCAAACAAGTGGGTGCTCGCCATCTTGACCGAGGTTACAAAATCGAATTCATTCAGAACCCCAATATGTCAGTCGTCGTATCCACACACACTTCCCCACCTCTTCTCGAGGAGGTGTCCATCCTTCTGCAGAAGGGAGCCATCGAACATGTACCATTCCACCTCCACGGGACGGGACTCTATTCCTGATATTTCTTAGTCCCAAAGAGAGACGGGGGCGTTCGCCCCATCTTAGATCTCAAGGAGTTGAACCATTATGTGGCTTATCACCGCTTCCGTATGGTGTCACTTCAACAGATCCTGCCCCCCCTTCGCAGAAACATCTGAATGGCCACCCTCAACCTCCAGGACGCATATTTTCATATCACTATCCACCCCTCCCACCGCCAATACCTACGCTTTGTGATTGGTTGTCGCCATTTTCAGTATATGGTCTTTGGCAGGAGAGTTTATTCCACAGGAGCGCTGGCAGGCAAAGCCTCCAACTACCTAGCCTGTATGAGTCGATACCAATATACCCTTTGGGAACGGTATTTGGCTTCTGGTGTCACCTTTGGAAACCGCCCTAGTCTCAAATGTCACGGAGACTCTGCCGTTATTGGAAAACCTGGGCCTTCAGGTCAACAGGCAAAAATCTCACTTGTGTCCAGTCCAGCGCATACAATACATCGACGCGATGCTGGATTCACAGGCATGCATGGCTTACTTGCCCAACGACCGGGAAGCAGAT